TTATATATGTATATATTTATATATATATAAATATATACATGTATGCAAGTATGTATGTATGCAAGTATGTATGTACGTATGTATGTATGTATGTAAGTATGTATGTATTTGTGTGTATGTTTGTGTGTGTATGCATGTATGTATGCATGTAGGTATGTAGGTATATATGTATGTATGTATGCATGCAAGTATGTATGTATGTGTGTCTGTGTATGTTTGTTATATATATATATATACATCATACATCATACATCATAAACATACACACATAAATACACACACACACATATATATATATATGTATACATACATATATATATATATATATAATGTATGTACATGTATATGTATGTATATCTTATGACTATGAATATGTATATGTTTTTAGATTTGCTTGAACTTAATCTCAAGTGCATACTGAATTTGCCATGTACCTAAGTTTGATGATATACACGCTCCGTAATCCTTGATGGTGTGGTATTTGTACATACTTATTCTTGAGTACACTTCTGGCTTTCTTCAGGTCATCGAGAGCATACCGCATCAGCAGATCGTACTGGTTGTGCCTCGCATGGGAGGTCGGTATATCGAACGTGCCCTGGATGTTGTGGCATGGGGTCTGGAGAACAGGCGAAGGATAGAATTCTATCTCCTTTGGTCCTTCCACATCTTAAACGTACACGGTCGCTACCTTAAAGAGCGAAGTGACCGGCTGCAACCGGTATGTCAGTGCGAAAAAATTAGTATGTATGTGACTTATCTTATACCGGCATGTCAATTTTGTAAGTGTTTCTCGAAAGTCGTTTCGATGGTATACGATATGTGCAGAAATTTGTAATAAAATAAAACGCCAATTTATAATTGCTAACGATTCAGACCTAATTGTTTGAACAGGTATTCCGAGCGTTGCAGAAAAGTGCCTCTGCACACAAAGACTCTCTGGCGAAACTTTGCCAAAACAATACATACACAATGGCGTACATACAAACCCTGACGGACTTCGCGAATGCCGAGAACGCCGACACAGAGCTCGGTGGAGATGATGACACTGAGATGTTCAGCGATGAGGTAGATATGAATGAGCCTCGCGAGTCACTGGCCATGCAGATGGGCTTAGATATGGGTGATGGAGCCATGGACACGACGACAGCTACGGATGTCATGCCTGGTTGGGGGTGATAACTATGAATATTTTGTTTACACACTTGGAGATGAGCACAATAAATTTAGGTATGATCATTTCGACCTGAGAGGTTTACCCGATATCTGCAAAGGGTTGATTGTTATATCATAATAGTAGACCTGGGAAGTTATACGTCCGCTATAACTGGCTACGCCGGATGCACGAATTATACCGTCAAATCCACGACTGCCCCATAGTACAGAGATGTGGCAGTGTGCTTCCTGCATACCACAAGCCATAAAGAATATTGTCGTAATAATGTTACTCTATTTATGTCGCACACTGATCTATTCTCAAGGCATTTTCATGGCGACTGCGGGCGTAAATCTATGGAGATTGCAATTTGTGAGTTGGCTATTCTGGGTGTAAAAGGACAACTCGTTTTCGACAAAATGGCTTGTGTCTATATCATGCAGCGTACACATGCTCAGTAAACTCAGTATACAATCGCCATAACCATCTTGGAAGGATCAATCGATCAAAAACTTCTTTTCTGCGATGCAATACTAAATTGTAGAACGCTTAAACCTGCGCAGTTTCTTTTCGCAGCACAAATTCGCATTCTTGTATGTCTTGAAAGCTCCTCAAATATGGAGAACGTCTTCGGGTGATTGTGCTATGTTATGACCGAATTATCAGTGGCTAAAGCAAACTATGCTCGGTCGATGAAAGGACAATGTATGCATATACAAAGTGCGCACCTGAGCTTGGACGTGTGTTTTTCCGATATACATACACCGAGCTCGAAAATAGTGTTCAAGCACATTACTTTGTACAGAGTATAAAAACGACGAAAGCACTTATATGTTTAGAATAAGCCTAGAAAGGAGAACAACTGTTTTTCTGGGGGAACAAAACCATGCTAAAGAACGGATCATTGACATAAATAAATATGTTCAATGATATAACGTATTCGCACTTCACACAATCGAGAGAAGCGGTAAAAACAGCTCTATGATACGGCTTCGCAGAACCTTCATGGTAATTTCACTCTAGTCTGTATGGCTTGCATTTCGCTTTAGAACGGTTTTGATTCTTCCCACGCTCTCAGAGATATTCTGGGTAGGAGGCTTGTCTCCTAACTTTCACCTAGTACCTCGGTGTTGTTGTTCTCATTTTCAGATTTTCGGGCTTTCTGCCTTTACCTTTTGGCTTATATCATTGTTTATTTGTTTTATGAAGCTCATAGATGATTTTTACTAAATTCATGAATGCTGAGGGTACAGAGCTCTGTTTCTCTCAATATATACTAGTGCGTCGGATTCACTTCACTATACGAATTCGCGAACAGAGATGCACTAATCTTGTCGATATAATAATGATTCCATAG